CGTTCGGTTCCCTGAGTCATACCTAACATACGATGGGTATTACGTGGCAGCCTTGTCCTAATTTGCCCCCCTTCTTTTTCCATTTTTTATTTGTTTATTTGATATTTTTGGCTTTTTTATTAAGCCGGTGGCTTGCTTGCCGGTGAAGGTGAAGGGCCCACCGAGGACGAATGGAGTAGGTCACACAACCGGCTGGGTACTATGGTATTCGCTCGCCTGTTCGCTCTTCTTCTTTTTCTCTTCTTCTTCCTCGGTCGTGTTTATTACATACACTAGGTACAGTAGCTGCTAGGTAGATCAAGCAAACTAGGTACATAGGTAACTCAAGTCTGCCTGATGTAGATGGATGTGCTCGGCGTGAGGGAACCGACGTATATACATATACGGAATACATACACACATACATAGGTAGGTAGGTGGCTTAAGCCCCTCGTAAGCTAAGAGGCTTGGTAGAGAACTTTTGTAGACATAGATCGACGCATACCTTAGGTACTTGGGCAGATATGGGGAGTCGTACATATCCGTCGACTACATACACATAGGCCGCGATTATGTACTTGCGTAGGCAGACATAGACACGAGCATGGACATGAAAGTAGGGTCTCTCGAGGAAGAAGCGAAGACAGGTACATAATAGTATAGTTATAGTTATTATGTAACAGGTACATAATAGTATTAGGTAGTTATAGTTATTATGTAACAGGTATACATACTATCCTCTCACGCAAGTATACCTACCTAGGTTACCTACCTAGGTTACCTACCTACCTACCTACCTACCTATGTATAGGCCAGGCAGCAAGGCAATTTTCCTTCTCTCGGCGCGGCTACATCCTAGCTCCATATATATCAACGCCATCGCTCTACGTACGTAGATGATGCTTAGGAAAATGTGACAGAGGTTTGCGGCTCGCGAAAAAGCCGCCCCACGTGTGTCTCACCAACCCGGTTTTTCCTTTCCTTTCCTTTGCTTTGCTTTGCTTTTTGTGTGTGTGTGTGTGTGTGTGTGTGTGTCCCGCCCCTCTCTCTCTCTCGCCTCGCCCCGTCGTGTGTGGGAATCATCGAGAGTAGGTCTCTGGGGGAGGGGGGAGGGGGGAGGGTTCACAACGAAGACAGGCGGGAGGCGCTGCTGCGTTCGCGCGTGCTGTACGTTTCAGACGGGGCCTGTGTGGTGACGAAGGGGAGATTAGGGAAGAGGTAGGTAGACAAGAGATTTTTGCCCTTTGCTTTTCCCGCAGGGCTGGGCTGGGCTCTCTGTAGCCGCGCGCAGCTATGTGGGTGGGTAGGTAGGTAGGTAGGTAGCAGCAGTGGCGTGCGCCGCACGTTACGGCCAGCCGCCTTTGGACTCGTCTGGGCGAATAGGGACGGGCTTGGGGGAGATTAAGGCGAAGGGGGCTTGCCGCTCACCTACTTCCGCAACGGGGAGAGGGGCGTGATAGGTATGTGCGTTCTAGATAAGTTGAGTTGAGGTCGAGGTTTCGACCGTTGCGATGGGGGAGGGATAATCGTGGTTCGATGTGCCTGCATACAGGGGGCTACATGATATTAGATACCCGCTAGATCGGTGACGTTTTCTTCTTCTCCTTCTTCTGTTTTCTTTCTTTCTGATGCATCAACCGATTGGGTGGCTTGCTAGTGTGATGTGCGGATGGCAGTGCTGTCATGGCATGGTCTAGGCTTGCACAGTAAATAGGTAGGTAAGGGGATCGGCACGAGGGCCAGGAAAGAAGGGGAAGGATGTTGCCTGTATGTGTGTGTGTGTAAGTATGTATGTATTGTGTGTGCATTCGCTATCCCAACTGGGAATATCTCCGTGACCTCGGTCATGGCAGCAGCTAGCCTGCTTCATTACATACCTAGGTAGTCCTATGGAAACAGAAAGAACCGTTGCTGGATCTGTTCTACCTACTCGTAGACGAGAATGAGAATTTTGCGACGGGAATACCGTCCGGCAGTTCGGCCTGCTCGAACCATAATAGAGATTTAAAATTCCGGCAATACTAGAGAAGGCTGTGTCAGTCGAGCAAAGTTTCTGATGCTAAAGATAGTAATCTGCGAATGTAGGGACGAAGGTTGTCCTATTTTAGGAATTTCATGATATGCTCCGTGTTATTTGCCACGACGGGAATATGAGATTCGTGGGATTAATGCATTGGATTCACTGTAGTAAACCCGGGTATAACCTTTAACTAGTAGGAGCAAGATCTCTCTATAGAGTTTCTTACTGAGATATCAATATTGGTCCATTGGTCCATTGGTCTATTGGTCTCTTGGGAACCGGGCATCGTCTCCTATTCCCTATTCCGATCCTTGCCATGTCGTATACCGTTCTCACTCGTGATATGATGCATCGTCAAATGCAATATGCGCTTTTCGACGGCCAGCCTACCTCGTATGTGCGTGTCTCCCCCGGAAGTCCGAATAAATTTCCATAGACTACCTAGCGGCTTAGTATATTGCGAGGTTCTTCGATCCCGCGAGTGGACCCTGACCAAGGTTCCGGGTTCGAAGACGTCGTTGAGCTACTGTACGGGGTGCACATCGTCTCTTGTCTGTAGTGTATATACTACAGTAGGCAGTGAGATGCGCGTATCCCTCGTAATGGGTTCGACTTACATAGGTAGCTAAGAAAAGGGGTTACGGTAGAACCGGATACATGTTTACATACGAGCTTACCTACATAACATGATATTTTTTAAGTTATTTTAGAGTTAGTCTGCTCGAGAACCTTTAAGGTATCGGCGGCTACGAGAAAACCAACATTGGTCTACCCGCTGCTGTGCGTCTTTTCCCTCACGTCTCCACCGGCTCCAATGTCATGTCCAGCTCAGATATCATTCGTAGGGAAATAATTGGCGACTGAAAGAGTATGACCCATAAGCTGATTAGCCCCTGCTGTACGAGCTGCCGGTCGAGTTCTGTTTTGATCCTTCAACTGCACCGACGCCATTCGACTGTCAACTGGCTCCTTGTTTGGTCATATCAAACCAAACTGCTCGAGTAGCAGGAGTGGTCGTTGCTTGGACGATGAGAGGAGGATATGTACAAACATGTAATGTAAACAATAAAAACGTGTCAAGTCGTCCTTAGATGTATATTGCATGGGGACCTGTCATCGGATCGAACCAGCGTTCCCGTATTGGACTTGTGCTTAGGAACAGTTGAAACTTGTTTCTCTATAATCTCTACTAACATTTACTCGACCTGGCCTGACCTCTAAACTACGAAGAGACTTATTAGTTAGAAATGAGTGTAGGTAATATGAATAGTATTAGGTCAAACGTCTTGCTAAGGAGACCAAAGACCTTAATACTGTTCTCATAGTTATATACTGCGTATCTGAACGCATTTCGACAATGCATATATTAGATTAGAATAAGCATCTCGTCAGATAAAATATAACTAGGGGAACCTATGACAAGAAAAGAGGATTCAAAATCGAGGATATGAGGAGTGCCGTTCGTCATGCTAGTTGTTACGATCGGACGTAACAGAAGTAAAGGCTAAGCATGGTATTCTTAGCTTCGATCTAAGCGGCGTATTCTATATGGCAATATTCCCGTTCTCGTTGCCTCTCGCAGATTAATGAAAAAGAATCGATGGAGTCGTTTCAAGCGTCGTCTCGTCCTGGCAACTTTAATCTCCAAATTTGGTGGACATTGCGAGAGCCAGTGGAGAGGAAGAGTATGAGTGACATGAAGATAAAGTTGTTGGTCGTGTGAGCACGGTACAACATATACTGTGCTAACCTAACGCCCAAGGGCTCGTGCAGCAAGTTACAAATACATATTAATGTTAAAAATGGTATTGCAGTAGTCTGATTTGGGTTAAGTCTATGCTGAATTCGCACTCGGTACGTACCCACGCATCATGACTTTTTCTTGCGCAGCGCAGCACTAGGAACATCCGCCATTAGGCTACCGGCGGTAGCCTACCGCATGAATGGTACCGTGGGAAGAAACAACGAGTTCTGGGCTTCTTTTGGAATAAGAATGTCACCTAGCTTACCCAACTTGCCCGGTAAGGATGAGTTCCTCGATGCTAATTGGCTAACCGCTGTTTCTTCCTCCCCGTTTAGGAATCATGAGGCTTAGGTACCCCATATGTACAGTACAGTGCTAATAAGTTTAGTCCACAAATAGTTATATTTATTGTACGTAGGTATGTACATAAGGTAGGATCTTTGGTAGTTTTTCATATATATCATTTTTACAACATCGACCTTCCAGCCGCAACAGTTAAATAGGTTCACCCGTGCTATGCAAATAACATTTTGGTATTAGTAGACGAAAAGCACGAAGGACTACCTACCTACCTATACGAATAGGTAGGTAGGTAATGTATATTGTAGGTACGGAATACATGTAGATACCTAGGTAGGTACCTAAGGTACTGTACCTATTTGGTCTTGACGATACGTACATATCTACTTGGGTACTTGGACGTTCGTAAACGGCAGGTATGTAGATCTGTAAAACGTGCTGTGGCTTAACTACATGTAGTTACCTAACCTAGAACCTTAGTTATTCCCTTTTACGTACATATAGAGATTGACGATGTCATCAGACATGCAAGTATATACCTACATGTATGTTATAATTAATATTAAGCTCAGCCCACGCTTCGTATCCAACGCTGCAGTATGACAGAAACTGCATTCATCTATAAGAGTATCCGGTCTCACAGACATCAATCGATCGGGAATGCTTGCGCCGTCTTCTGTATATCATCAAATATCGAGGCCATGGCCCACACGGGCGACAATGTTTACGAGGTTGCGGCAGTGTGTCTAAGTGATCTTCTGTTTGCACACGAGTTATTGGCTACACGCTGCACCACCATTACACCTGCCCGTGCAGGCATGGCTTGGCCACTATTGCGCTGGGAGTAGGAATTGGCTTGTTTACGAACGAGATCTAATATTTAATAAATTCTAGCAATAAATCGATATGTCGTCTTGTGATACCGTATGGACGATGTGCTTAAGGACTCGTGAGGCTCCATGCCATTTATCAGCCACGAGCTGATATATTTAGATATATATAAACTACGTGCTTAAGGTAATAACGGCCGACGTTCTGCAAAGACCAAAAACAAAAAGAGTTGCGGCTATGAGGGCTTGGAAATCTTAGATACATCTCCAGATTCGTCCACACCTGGCCTGATGCCAAGCGAGAAATTCGGCTGTGGTGTTAAGAGACAAGTCACAATGCTCAGATCATGTAACAAGCACTGCAATGGGCAAGAGCATCCAAAAACAGTGGCATTCATGCAAGATTCATGCGAGTATTCCCTGTAACACACATAATACCGTAGTAGACATCCGCCGTTTACGATGCCTGATCTACCCCGTCCAAGCACAAGGCGAGGTAAGGCAAAGCAAGGCAAAAAAGTAAGGTTAGGGTTGAAAGCAACCTTAAATACCATACCGGCATTTGTCACTGATCGCTTGACGAGGCGAGCCCGCTAAAAGCCCGTCCATTTAAGCATACGGAAGACTCCGGCAAGAAGTCAAAAGACGGGCTGAGGCGAAAGTGTCCAGGACCGGCTTACACGGGGTGTTACAGGAGAATTGTGAGGCTTGCAAGAACTGGCCACAAAAACTGGCCACAAAATCGATTTTTACAAGGTTGTATCTTGACCGGTCCTGCTTTGATAATGCCTTACCTAAGAGTAATACTACTACGAATACTACGGGCTGCTACGCGCGAGTTTGCGAATAAATATGTATGGATAATGTATGGATAATGTATGAAATAAAACCCAAATAAACTCGAGAGAATACGACATGAAGAAGAAATGGGCAACATTTCGTACGAATAAGCGTTGGCCTGTATATTACCTTATACATGTATTCATCATGTAACCCTACGTATAACCCTACGTACATCTAAGGTTGGAAGTATACGGATCCGTACATTAGTGCAAGTACCGGGGTTAGGTACATGTTTAGTGCTACTTTTAGCGTACTACATATGTACATAGGTATATAAAAGCACATGTGAGGTCAGGTAGGTACCAGTGTCCATATTATATTGTACATGTACTGATGTATACTGCGGATGGTCTGCCCCTCCTTGGACTAACTCCGCAGCCCCTCCCGTCGAACTCGCCCTACGCTCCTCCAGTCACAACCTTCGCAACTTCGATGTCTTTCCCTATTTCGACATAATTGTCAACCCCTCTAGTCCCCCTCTAAGCTTTTCGCAATCCGAAACCCTTGTCGTAGATTAGGTACATGATCAAATTATACGATGGAATGTTTCAGGAGCGTGATGAGGATGATGAGCAGCTTGTCGACGGCACTCTACATATTACATCCAGCATCTCGCAAGTCGGATTGAGATGAGGTCATCCTCATTCCCCGTTCCCCATTCCCCAGCTGGTCGGCGCTGACCCGGCAGAGCGATTCTGGAAGATTACGGTACTTAGGTAGGTGATTTATATTTATACTACCTTACGTGCCTTATGTGCCTTATGTGCCTTATATATACCTATATGTGTACCTCATAAGCTATGTGACGAAGTTCCTGCTACCCTATTGCAATGCTCCTTCAATTCCCCGAACCCCCAGTTTTCCGCCTTAGTTGAAACGTCTAATTATGAGAGATCGACTTGCCTAATCGGGTTGATCTTGAAACATTGCCGACAAGGGCTGCGAGAAGGCGAAACAATACGATGCCTAGCCCGTCTAGCCTGTCTAAGCCCATCTTTCCTTCTACTGGTTGACCAACTTGGCTCCCATTGCCCAATTGCCCAGCCGCTTTTCTACTTTCTACTTTCTACTTTCCGCGAAGCCAACTTGGTTTTATTATCCAACATAACCGAAGTTACTTGGGATACTTATGTCATGGATAGTTGAGCCGTCGGTCCCGAGACACGGCGCTCTTAGGCATTATGTATGAAAATGGAATCTTCGTCAGGTCAGAAAAACCCCCTCAGGAGATGCCTACCCTTCCCCCTAGGCCCCCTAGGCAAGGGACGCAATACCCAATATCGGTAGCCACGCGGCCGCAGAAACCTCAAAGTATATGTATTACTATTGTTCGTATTTTCTTACCTACCTAACCTAGACTGACTCTAGGTAAAAAATGTTGATTTTCTAAAGAGGAAGTCAGCTGCCAAGCTTGCTAGGATTGTTTGTCTTCGTTGCGCGTGCGCGTTATTCACACGATTGCGAGATCGGGAATATTTACAGCTGACACTGTTGGGAATCTTACATAGTACGGGTTGGTTACGGGACAAGACGAGCCCCTTGTTATGAGGTATAATGGTAGACCCCGCCATGGTGCATCATACTTGTTTTTCTGGCTTGCCTATGTTGCTATGTTGCTATGTTGCTATGTGTGTTGCTCTATGTATGGGGATCATACTGTAAGTACGTCAGTTGGGTACGATGTCTTCGTAAAGGCCCGCTACACGCATAGCATTTCAATATGTATAGACACTATACACTACTATAGCAATCTCTATACGCATACGCATACATACGCATATGTATAATCTCCGAGGTAGGGTATATAGGTATGTTACATTGCGCATAATTCCCAAACGGCATACATATATCATACCCTGATACACTAAGTGGGATTGAAACTCGTTGCATACTTAGCCATCTCACGTCTATATTTCTTGTCGAGGCCCTTCTCCCCATGCAGACTACCTCTTACACATACGTACCTATATACATCCGTCGGTACATATGCCTGCATACGTATGCTAGACTGGAAGACCCGGCGACGATTCCGTACAGTAACGCACAGTATATAGTACTTGTAAACTAGAGGGCTCCTCACGGTTTCGTATTGTATAATGCATACAGTACTCTTGCTGCGCTAACACCACTTGGGAGACTCGACTTGTATTGTACATGATGTATGCCGTAAATGTATATGTATACTACCTACCTACCTAACCTATGTATTCTGTAGATGTTTACATAGCCACACACACGCACGCACGCACCCAGACAGGCAGACAAGAACAAACAACAACATACCTGTTAAGTAGTTATTTGGGTATTTACGAGGACTTCTGCCAGACGTAGACTCCCCCCCCAGGCCCAGGGACCAGGGATATATCAGTCAAGTACATCTTCGTACACAATATGTCTGATGCACTACTCCTCTTAATTCCTTCTCGCGATATGACTCGAGAAGCGCTTGTGGGTTTTTTTTCTTCGGCTGGACAAGCGGCCTCCTGCTAGGACTTATTAACCATATGTTACCTTATGTATTAGTATTGTATTCTTCCACTCAGCCCGTAAAAAAATCCTGGGCTCTTCTCTATCAGGTCTAGGCACGCTTTCACGGGTTGTAACTAAGTACATTACTCGTCTCCTTTAAGCGATTGAACTCCACTTTTCAGCTGCTGACGCTACTATTTCCAAGCCTGGAATGTACATACTGTAATGTACTTGCCCCTTTCGACCTTATTCGAATGCATAGTACCAACGGCCTCTGCTGAGTTTCCCTTCCTACATACATTTCCTACATACCTGGGTTACATAGGTATATCATACCTCACATAGTACATACCCTCGCCCATTCACAGCAGAAAATTACAGGGTATATATGGTAGAATACATATTAATTAGTTATAGTATTTATACATAGCAACGTTTTCCTACGTACGTATTGCCTATATCCGTCCCGTGTATCGATTATAGATTTACATATACATATACATACCTATTGGTTTATCTACAGTAAAACATACACTTATAAAGCGCCACTTTCTAAGAGAAGAAGAAGAAGAAGAAAAAAACAGAGAATTAAAAAAAAAAAAAAAAAAAAAAAAAAAAAAAATAAGTGCCGGTTGAAAATGATAGACGGGAGAATAGAGGTGCCCCGTCCTAACCCCGGGAGCCAAAAATACGATACCCGAATTAAAGCAAAAAAGGGA